CTTTATAAAGTTGCTAAGTAACGATACTTCAAGTATGACTTTTGAAACTGTCATCTGGGGCTGAAATAAAAGGCTTTCTGTAAATGCAGAACATTTCTTTGGCTTGTACCTATCCTTTGGTTGAAGGTTTCACAAACGCGCGTAATTTAGGGTATGTTTCCAAATGTGTTCCACTTTTACCTAATCGCAGCATTGTTTGAAGTTTTGAGTTAATGCACCAAAAGATAGGAGATTTAAATACCTTTGACATTTCCTTCATATATCCCAGCATTATCGATGCATTTAAGACTTTATTCGTAAGTAACTTTCTTTTCATCCATGGAAACAACTTTTCATAACCTTTATAATAGGCTTTACTAGATTTGGATTTTCCACCTACTAACGTTTGTTTAGATTTTACAACAAGCGATTTAATGGACGGTGTATTATCTTTTTCAACGGAAAGCGTTTTATTCACAAAGACGATGATTTTTATAAGCAAACGTCAAGTGACATTTCCATGGCAATCGTGAAATTTCGAACACCCAGCCCACATAATTAAACATGTATTCAAGTACAGTGTGAGCAACAATGATTGAAGCGTGCGTCATCACCGCTTGTTCCTATTAATATCAAAACTACCTTCTTTGTATGGAGTTGTATACGAAAATGACGTTCTGCGCTGTCACAGTGAGGTGCGTCTATTCGTATTTCGTATCTTGTATCAAATCAGCATATGCTATGAGCGGCACATTGCCAATTTAGCTGAAGCGGCACGCTTCAATCTTTGTTGCTCACTCTGTACAATGTGAGCAACAATGATTGAAGCGTGCGTCATCACCGCTTGTTCCTATTAATATCAAAACTACCTTCTTTGTATGGAGTTGTATACGAAAATGACGTTCTGCGCTGTCACAGTGACGTGCGTCTATTAGTATTTCGTATCTTGTATCAAATCAGCATATGCTATGAGCGGCACATTGCCAATTTAGCTGAAGCGGCACGCTTCAATCTTTGTTGCTCACTCTGTATAACGTCAATAGGATTTCATTGTATTTCCTATTTTAAAATTATACTGCAGGTATAATAAAAAATACTATAAGATACACGTGTATAATTGGTCTTTAAAGCACTTGCAACGTTAAAGGCACTCCGCTTTGCGTCGTGCCCTTAAACTCGTTGCGCGTGCTTTAAAGAGTTGATTATACACTTGTATCTTAATATACTAATTTTATTATACCTGAATCATAATCTCCGTTTTAAACACTCAAATGCGTGCGAAAAAAAGGCCTTAAAGTTGCTAGGTAATGATACATCAAGTATGACTTTTAAAACTGTCATCTGGGTTGAAATAAAAAAAACATCTTCTGTAAATGCAGAACATTTCTTTGGCTTGTACCCATCCTTTGGTTGAAGCTTTCACAATCGCGCGTAATTTAGGGTATGCTTCCAAATCTGTTCCACTTTTTAATCGCAGCATTGTTTGAAGTTTTGAATGAATGCGCCAAATGATAGAAAATTTAAATACCTTTGACATTTCCTTCATATATGCCAGCATTATCGATGCATTTAAGACTTTATTCGTAAGTAACTTCCTATTCCTCCATGGAAACAACTTTTCATATTCTTTATAATAGGATTTACTGGATTTGGATTTTACACCTACAAACGTTTGTTTAGATTTTCCAACAAGCGATTTAATGGACGGTGTATTATCTTTTTCCACGGAAATCGTTTTATTCACAAAGACGATGATTTTTAATTAAGCAAACATCAAGTGACATTTCCATGGCAATCGTGAAATTACGAACACCCAGCCCACTTAATTAGACATGTATTCGAGTATAACGTCAATATGACTTCATTGTATTCCCTATTTTTAAATTATACTGCAGGTATAATAAAAAATACTATAAGATACACGTGTATAATTAGTCTTTAAAGCACTTGCAACGTTAAAGGCACTCCGCTTCGCGTCGTGCCCTTAATATACTATTTTTTATACGTACGTCAAATGTGACATTTCGCTGATCATATTCAAGCAGCGAAGTATCGTTTCGTTGCTAGGGGTAGAGAAGCGGAAAACAGGCAGAGAAATTTTACTTCTCTGCCTCCTTTCCACTTCTCTGCCTCTTTTGATTTCTATGTCTGTGTTGACTGCAACTTTTTTCGAAAAGTAAGCAACATGACGAAAAATGTTAAATACAAAAAAGATGTACCTTGATAATCTGTACAAAAAAGTGTACCCATTTTTTGCGTCGGATTCAAAATAAATATAGTAAGAAAATCGGCAGTTTTATTAAAATTTGACATATTTGACCACCACTCCCAACCTTAAGCCACGGGATCTCGCTGGCAGACATAACTTTTTCTACTTCATTATGTATCAGCATACTTTACACAAAAAAACAGCCATGTAGCGATAAGTCACTTTTTTTCCGTAGCCCGCTCTCCGTCTAAAACGTCACTATGTGAATTTATACGCGTAACAGAAACACTATTTGAACATTATAAATAAGTAATAAACAATTTAGTGAATGCACGGTGATAGACCATTGTAATTAATTAAATGATTATGATTACCAAGTTTTTTTTTTGTTTTCTCCTTAGACAAGAAAGTTTTTTCCTTTCAACGATCTAAGATTAAAGTCGAACAACAATAAAATTAATTATTTTAAACAAGTAGGTGCTAAAATTTAAATCAAATTATTATCAGTAGTATTGATTTCCGGTCAAGAAATGCAGTTGGATGTTTTTTGAATTTTCAAGAATGGAACTTGGATTCATAATTTTCATGGATCTCGGAATATTTCCACACACTCGTTTAGGTTGCTATGTCCTGTATGTTACATGTAACGGAAGCTTGTTAAATTTTGCAAGTTTTGTGGATTTCAAAATTATATTCGGGTAGAAATGCGTATCGATGATTCAGATTTCTGTGAAGTTGTAATGTTCATTAAAATTAACAAACCTTTTTTTTTTCGATGTAATTAAGTTTCAAATATCGTGAAATATAAGATGAGTTATTGGTTTTGGACTTCCTATTTTGGGCGAGTTAACGATTAGTACGTGATTTAAAAAAGGTCACCGGTTAAAAGACGCAATAGATTCTAAGAAAAATATGTAATAAAACAGCGAGGCTAAAAAATTATGAGTTTGTTTATTTCCGGAAACTTGATGGGAGCGTTAATTACGGGCGTTGGTTTACTCGCGATATAAAAACCAAAATGATCAGAAATTTAGGAGCTTTTTGCGTAGATATTCACGCGGAGCGTGGTACCGCCGCGGAAAACGCGGCCACCACTTATAAAGTTTTTTCGTAGATATTCGCACGAGCGAGTGTCATCGCGGAAACGGGCCATTTAAGTAAAAAGGCCCAAACCAAATAAAATTTGTTGCGCGTATTAATTTAAAATCGTATTTTTTAACCAAGAACAAGTTGGTCGTTCTGGAATAGTGATTTGTTCGGAAAGTATTAATCATTGAGTAACTGCAGTTTAGTTTAACGTGCGATTGAAATACTTCCGTTCAGAAATTATACCTAAAGTACGAAAAAAGCGCTAAGAAATTGTTGTTCAATTGGGATTACGCGATTAGATTTAATAGGCGAAGATTGAGAATAATCTAAATCATGCTCCACTACAATACCCACCATCTAAAAAGGGGAAGAATACTACTGTCTAAATTGTAAGTTATTTTTATGAAAAGTTATTTACCTAGAAATTTATTCATATAAAATTTTTATTTTGTCATTTTATAATTGTTTTTGCCGAATGGTTTTATATAAATAGGATAAATATAAGTTAGAAGTTAGAAGAATATTCATTGCTGTAGGTATTTAATTAAGTGTTATATTAAGTAAATTTAAATATTATTCAGATTCAGGATAGATGTAAGTAACTGAGTAATTAAGATTTAATATAAAAAAGGAAATCAATTGTGAATGCAGTGGAATTTGGATTTATTTTATTTTTTTCAATATAATCGGTTTATTTATGTAGATTTATTTTTTATCAATCAGAAACGTGAGACGGTAATAGTAGGGCTATTACATACAGCTGCGGAAAAATAAATTATAAAAGAAACCGAGGAATAAGCGCAAACTTTTGGACTTTTTGGCGTGGAGCTTCCATGTGAAACGTTTTGAAGCCTCTGTGTATTGTTCGGGAAAAAATGCTTGTTTTGTGACCATTGTCTCCAACCTTTCACTCCTACATTTGTGACTTATCGTTGTTACATTCTAAATAGTACCTAAAGCTCACAAAATTACGACTGCAGGATCAGGAAAAACATTGACCCTTAAAAGCTCTTAAAAAAGCCAGAGTAGTTCAACTTCTAAAATCGAACGAAGTTATGGCATATCAACGTTTGCAGTCAAATTTCTACATGTAAACTTTTGTAATTTTAGATAAATTCCGTTTATTATGCTGAAAACCACCAACAGAACTGGAAAGTTAAACCGTGCGCCCAACATTCATTACAAAACATTCCATGCTTTAATCTAAATGTAAAGATATATGATAATCAGGCGAAAATTTCAATTGTATTTACAGAGAAAAACAATTCTTAATTGGTATTTATAGTTGATATGTCATTGATTATTCTATAATATCATTCAGACAAAAATCTGCAATAAGGTTGGAAATTAGACAAATAATATTTAATCGTCAATATTGTAGCAAGATTTCCCTATGTTCATATGTAGCTGTAATTGCAATTAGCATGAAGTACTGCCTTTAAATTAATTAAATGTCATACTGGTCATATCTGATTTTTACTCCGTTGAACTAATGAACTTGAACAAATTTTAAATTCTGTATATAGTGTATGAATTACAAGGCAACCATTGCGGTTCTGTTTGTGTGGATATTCAAGCAGCCGTAGATTTTTTTAACGATTTCTATCTGATAACCTTAATATCAACTGAATATTGTGTTGATTAAATAGCGACATATATACCCTATGCAGTGAAAGTGGTTTTATTCAAGACTAGTTGAGAAATAAAATGAATATCTACCTACCCGAAACGCAGTTTTTCTCAAACTGTAAAAAGAATCTGGTAAGTAATCCCCTTCTTCCCCATATGAAGGCTAAAGCGGCTATAGGTAGCAAAATTTGAATCGTGCTGCTCCACACTTGTACGCTATTACTGTTTTTGCTGTTAAAATCTGAGTCTTCCAATTGGCGGCTGTCTGAAATAAGAGAATGTGATAAATTGCAATCCGAAAAAGTCACTATATAAGCGCTTAATACCCTCGTCAATGTTTTTAGGCAATCCATAACTTCTTGAAAAAACTGTACTAAGTGCACGTCCTTCGTCAAATGACATTAACAAGCAATTCATAATCGAAGCTAACAAATTGATATGCATTTCAACAATATTAGTGTTGTTTATACAATCGCCACCAACATAAATGAGCCTAAGCTCATGCAATTAACGTGTTACCTGGATTGTTGGTTTATGGTGTGAAATGAATAAAACGTTGTTATAAATTAAATTCACTGCAGCGTTTACTGTTAATCATATTAGGGAGTACGTGTTTGGTAATAAACCATTCTCAATACTTGTTTACGTACTTCAATCTAGTAAATGCGCGCATTATGATGTGAACTTTCCCAGGTTTTTACGTTTGCCTCTCTTCATTATTTTTTATCACGTTTTCTGTCAAGGATTTGCAATTTTATTAATATTTAAATCGCTGCCATGACACGTAATTTTTAAGGTGTAGTCTAAAACCGAATTATAATTTTATTAGCGAAATAGCACACTCACAATTCACATAGACTAAGTACAACCGTATTTAGCACCTAAACATACATTCAGGGTATATTTATGCTCTTGCTTATGTTATACCGTTGAGTGAAACTATTCAATAGTTATACTTAAAATCAATGGGACCCAGCCTATCAAAAGGCCCGTAACTTGAATTGTGGAGTAGACGCTGGCAAGCCGCTTTAGAGCAAGACTGTCTCTTCATAAAGAAAAGAAAGAAGAAAGTTAGCGGCAAAGAAAAATAAAATAATACCTAAACCAAAGGAACCTCTTTTTAAAAGAATACATACCGTGAGCAGCATAAGGTTCTATCAGGGGTTCTCTTGTATCTTTATATTTGCCTTCATTTAATTCATTTTATATTGGGTAATGGCATAATGCTTTAATCAATGCCATAATCAGTGATTAAAAAATTCTCTTAGATATGTAAACCATGAGAGAAAGTCAAATCCTCTGAATAAATTAGTACCGCGTGGAATACGCACACCAGCTTCTAGTATATTTGTGAAAATACAAATAAATGCACAGATTACAAACGTGGTTGGAAGCGGTTCTTTCCGAAAAGTAAGTCAGTTTATATTTTTATAATCATCAAATATTAATGAAGTATTTTGTTTTCCTTTGAATATTCCGATTTCCATGGGCGGCGATCAAAATCAATGGACTTCGCTCACCACTTGCGACTGGGAACCTTTAGGTGATGTGATTTTCATCTTAAAAAATTAAAGTGTGTGAAGTTAGCAAAAACCATACAATAATAAATAGGCACAAATTATTAAACAAAAAATGAATAATCGCGTTGACGTCATGCATTGACGTGTAAGCCCTGAATAAGAGAATATAGATTTACGATGGATGCTTAGGCTGCATCAAGAACGCACAATTGCTTGAAGCACGGCCTTGGAAGTTTTAGGAGGAGGGGGAGTGCTTCATTGTGATCAATCACACCTGGGAGTGTGATTGCCTGCCTAAGAATAACTATAAATGAAAAAAATGTTCTTTTATGTTCAAATTTGAAGTGCTTTTCTCCGCAATACATTTTTTTGATTATTCATCTATACTTTATGGGGCGATTTCAAGTAAACTCATAGATAACACCCACGAAAAGGATTTTTAAAAAATGCCAATATTTTGTATAGTAGGCTAAACAAAAACTACAGAATTTAGGCACTAATTACATCAATTATTGCGATTGATATTTAATTTACAAGAATAAACTTAATGTGTAGACTGACTATTATCTATTTCCTTACTTGATATACTGTGTTTTCAGCCATATTGATATTGTTATATTGTTACAAGGGTGATCAAATAAGAGCTTCGGAAAGTTTTTTTGAAATAAAACGCCTTAACATCAATTTAATAACCAAAAATTGTATTTAATACGTAAGTTCGGTTCATGACATTTAATATTTAAAAATAATTTGTTTTAAATGTTGACCGTGACTGACTCTTAAATGGTTCATTCTATGGGTCCAATTTTCAAGCACTCTTTCGAACATTTCGGCCGAAATCATTAATTGCACGTGTTATGTTCGTTTTTAATGCAGGAATAGTTTGTGGTTTATGGGCATAAACAAGTTATTTCAGATAACCCCATAAAAAGTAATCTAACAGCGTTAGATCACATGATCTTGGTGTAATTATGATTTATGAAAGACATAACGCTTGAGCACGACTGCGAATTCACGTACACTTTCAGCTACAGCAGCAAGATTAACAGCATTTCGCCTTCTTCCCACTCTGGTCGGGTGATGAACATCCAATTATGAAAAAGTGGTTCGAAATTTATTGATTGTTCCACGAATGGTGCGTTCAGTTGGACGATTCTGAACACCATCAAATGGTCGAAGAGCACGAAAAACATTTCTCACTGAACACTGATTTTGGAAATAAATTTCCACGATTTGTAAACATTGTTCTGATGTAAGTCTATTCATGGTGAAATGTACTAACTAATAATGAACAAAAAACAGATATGCACATGACAGCTATCTTGATTGAAGTATTTTAAAATCCCTATTGGAAAAAGTAGCTCATATTTGATAACCCGTTATATTTCTAAATTGCTGTTCGGTTACCGCTAACTTAGATGAAATATACAGAATCTAGTGCTGATTTGTTACTAGCTTCAGACGGGTTTAATCTCGGGTTTAATACTGTGTAATATTTTTTACTCCCACAGACACCAAAAGCCCTGCCAAAAGCCCTTTTGACGTTGGCCAAGAAAAATAAATTCCCAAACAATAATTGTAACCTGGAACGCTTGTGGCGTCTGTCTGTGTCTATCATGGGATCTCCGAAACCATAGCAGATCTTCAATTTACCAAAGTTCGTTATTGTTATCCTTTTCGTGTTAATAGTCTTGGACATGCAGACACATAGACAGATAAGTCGAACAGACTGACAGAAAATATATCATAAGGAGGTTTTCACAAATTTTTCAAAAGCGGCTAGGATAAATTGGAAATTAATGTGGGTAGCATTAAATTTTAAGGAATTCTTCACGGATTAAAATTAGTTAAAATTTATCGCGTCTAACGTTTTAAGCAATCACCGTGGCTGGACGTTTACGTCAATTTAAATGCAGGCGAAAAATGAATTTGAAATGCACTTTTCAAATTGATGGTGAACAGTGTGTTTGGTAAATTAATGGAAAACATAAGAAAATATAGGGATGTATGTCTAGTGCCGAAATGGGAAGATCAGTATGGAGCGCGTGCATTAATGGCAAAACCAAATTTCCACAGTTGCACCTTATTATTCGATAACGATATGGTCATTATTGAAATGCATCGATTAGTGGTGTTCCTTACAAGCCGATATATGTAAGCTTTGCGATTTTGGGGATATCCAAAACGATCCTCAACAATTTCCGGCTTACGTTTACGCGCTGCCTAAATTCAAAAATCACTCTAAACAGTTTTTTTCACTACTAGCGTCTGATGACATGATTATTAACCTTTTTTCCACTTGTAAAGTAGGCTTTTTCGGCATTTGTTCAAAGTGGTTAATAATTTTTTATTATTAACTAGTAGTCAATAATGAGAACTGTCACGCTGTCACTTTTAGAAAACACAACCCGAAATTTCGCCCAATGAACGTTTAGACAAGTTCTCTAAAACGAATAATTGCCACCATTCGCAATTTCCAGAGAAATTACATACCTAAAATTATCACATTTTGAAAAAATTCGAACGAAATTACTCTTTGAAAAATCTCAATGACAGAACAAAATACGGCCTGTTTGACTTGTACTTCCACGTACTTGATTGACATGTTACATTAAGAAACAAAATTCTGTCCAACCGTTCACTTTCTTATCAATATAATATGTTAATTTAGAGGACTTCAAGTGCTAGTAGTGAAAAAAATAGTATATATACCACGGTAGAGAAGTCTATTATTGCCTTCGCACCTTACACCCCTCGGCGCAAGCGCCTCGAGATGTAATCTTGGTGCTCAGGCAATAATACTGTACTTCTCTACCTTGATATATAATGTACTATTTTTCACTACTAGCGTCTGATGACATGATTATTAACCTTTTTTCCACTTGTAAAGTAGGCTTTCTCGGCATTTGTTCAAAGTGGTTAATGATTTTTTATTATTAACTAGTAGTCAATAATGAGAACTGTCACGCTGTCACTTTTAGAAAACACAACCCGAAATTTCGCTCAATGAACGTTTAGACAAGTTCTCTAAAACGAATAATTGCCACCATTCGCAATTTCCAGAGAAATTACATACCTAAAATTATCACATTTTGAAAAAATTCGAACGAAATTACTCTTTGAAAATATCCCAATGATGAAAATACGGCCTGTTTGACTTGTACTTCTACGTACTTGATTGACATGTTAAATTAAGAAACAAACAATTCTGTCCAACCGTTCACTTTCTTATCAAATTAATATGTTAATTTAGAGGATTTCAAGTGCTAGTAGTGAAAAAAACAGTATATATACTTCGCACCTTACACCCCTCGGCGCAAGCGCCTCGAGATGTAATCTTGGTGCTCAGGCAATAATACTGTACTTCTCTACCTTGATATATAATGTACTATTACACGGATTCATTCGGTGAGTGTGATTTAAGGTCGATTCGCATTTTACAGAATGTTAACGTCATGTCACGGACTGGCAACGTCACGTCAAAATATCGAGGGGTCGCGTGACCCCTACTTTAACGCCGCTGGGTTACGTGACGAATAAGCGCCCCTCGGTACGATCATGCAATTAATAACAAGTTAAAAAGTAATCGTAAACGATTTACATAAAGCGCATTTCCACTTGCATTCATTTCCCATTTGTAAGATGCAACTTCTGTTAAAACCGTAAAAATCCGGCCACAAATATGAAAGATAGCGTTGCACATGGGCAATCCATTGTTGACGTGCTACTTCAATTTCAGTTTATG